AAAGGTGCACAAACCACTGTGCTAGCCAGCCATAGTTCCCGGAGCCCCTTCACTGAGGCCGGGTCAGGAGCAGTCAGTACCTGCCCGGGAAACACAGTACCGGGGGACAGCTGTGCCCCTGGGTCAGGGTGGCTGAATGTTTTCATTCTGCTCCCCTACTTCAGGGCCAGCTAGGGCCTGGAACCATGGGGGTCCTACTGGGGGTCTCTGCAGCTCTCAGAGAACCTGTTAAGTAGGGGGGTAGACAGCACAGAGAGTCAAGAGGAGCCGGAGGATCAGGAGGCGAGGTATGACGGAGGGGGTACCCTTTTCACCCGTTCCCCTCTGCACGATGTAGGGGCATCGCTCAGACTTCTGCCTATGCTGGTGCCTGGGCTGCTGTGGGGTGAGTGTGGGCACGACTCACACACACGGGCTCCTTGACAAGAGTCTGTGGGAAGGGGCCTGGGAATCGGTATCCCCACCTGGTTCCAGGCAGAAACTCGGCCCCTGACTGTGCTCTGCTGTAAAGAGTATCCAACCAAGGCCTGGGTCTCCTGGCTCAGAGTCCCCAAGACAGGAGTAACACTGGTGCTATTTATTTAGCGAGAGGCACCCCAGGAAGGTTATTAATTCCAGGGTTACTGGGGGGGGGGGGTGACGGCAGCAAGGCTGAAACCACCCCATCCCCCCAGCTCCTGCCACGGAGTCTAGATGCTGGGTGAGCACTAACCAGGGGTCCTATGGACATTCAAACATGGAAGGGTCATCCCAGAGCAGAAATTTCATCCAAATACAAAAAGTCAAGTGTTATTTTTATACTCAACGCAAGCAGTTATTTCACGGAAAAAAGAAGCAAAATCGCTATAAAAATGATGATAAAACAGTCTCCAAGGAAAAAGGTCTTCGCTTGAGTCCTGTCTGCCCCCCCCCCCCCCCTTGAGAGTCTGCGAGGCCAGCCGCACAGACAGACAGACAGGCAGGGAGGGGCAGGGGCCAGCTGTGTCCTCTGTCACTAGGAAGCAGGCTGGGGAAGAAGTGGCAGGCAGTGGTGTTTGGATGGGCAGGGTAAGAGAGAAGAGGGGACCCCAACAGGGCACATGTGGGGACCCCAAGGAGTCTTTATCAGCCAGAGCCCCCTGCAGGACCTTCAGGAACCTTGCCCCGCGGCCACGACTTAGAGGAAAAGTCCCACGGAATGAAAACTCTGTACCCACGAGTCCCCTGAGTTACTGTTTGCAAGAGCAAAAGCCCGTGAAAGGTACCAAAGGCCGGAGCCTGACAGTGCCACTCCAGCGCCTGGGCCCGAGGGACTGGCTCAGAGTTCGGGGGAGACATCTGTAGCCATTGATCGGGAGAGACACCCAGCAAAGACGTGGAAAACACCAAATCGCAGATATGAAATAATCCCATTGTTAAGGAGATGTGACGGTTAGAAACTGTGTTCCTGGGGAAAAGACTTTCGCCTGTGTTTCCAATTGTTCCCAATGAGCAGGGTATTTTTTTTTTTTTTTTTTTTGGAGCCAGGATGAAAAATGTCTCTAGCACAAGGCACAGTTTTCTCAGAGCCACAAAGATGCTAAAATAGAGTTAAATACGGAAGGTATGTATGACAGAGAGAGGCGCCTGGGACAGAACATTGATTGGAAAAGCAGAGTGTGAAACGGTATGTACACTATGTCTCGAGTCCCGACGGCACCGGCCAGGGTCAGAGAAAAACCCAGGAAACACAAGGAGCGATGCTGTCTGAATGAGCCAGGGTGTGGGCTCTTCTCCGCTCCCCACAGGGCACCGCAGCTGACTTCTCCCTAGTCAGAGGCAGGTTGAAGAGACAAAGAAAAGCCAGGCCAGTCAGGCTCCAGCTTTGTTGCCCATGGCGCCCACCCTCGCAGGCCGCCCTGAAATGGAGCCTGAGCGCCTCCCTGTGGCCACAGCAGGGATTGTCTAAGGCTGAGCACAAGGAAGGCTGCTCCGGAAATAATCCAGAGTCAGGCTGGGGGATCTGAGCTTGGGAGCCAGGAGTGCTGTGTGCGCAGAGGAGCAAAGGAACTCAGACTATAAACCTCTAGTGGATAACAAGAATATCCAACCAAGGGGAATATCCCACCAAGGGGTGAAGTGGACAGCCATCGTGTCCATGAGAGAGAAACGTGTGTGTGTGTGTGTGTGTGTGTGTGTGTGTGTGTGTGTGTGTGTGTGAACCTGACACCAACCAGAGTTACCTAAGAAGAGGAAGAACCTCAGCTGAGACAATGTGTCCACCAGATTGCCTTCAGGGACGTACGTCGGGCATTTTCTTGAACAGTGACTGATGGGGGAGAGCCCAGCTCACCGTTCGCTCTGGGCTGGACATGAGAGGAAACTGAGCAAGCCCAGGAGATGCAGCCCAGCGAGCATCCTTCCTCCATGGTCCCTGCTTCAGCTCCGGCCTCACTTCCCTCGGTGACCTGGGAGTTTAAGTCGAGTAAACCCTGTACCCTCTCCCCATGTCTCCCCGAGTGGCTTTTGGCCATGGTCTATACCACAGCAGTAGAAACCGAACTAGAACACCAGGCTTTGGCCAAACCCCTGCTCAGAGGAGACTTTCGACTTCTTCTCCCGTGCGTAAAAGCCCTCCCTAGCTCTTGCCACACTGCCAAAGGACGCCCGCAGGCGGCCCCCAGCCCTGGTTCTGCCGTGTGGGGCTGTATGAACAAGCTCCAAGCCACATGACTCTAGACTCCAGTGCCCTACCACAGAAACCAGAATCAGCCTCCCAGGGCTCTGCTTCCCATGTGGCGCCGGTAACGGCCCCAGAAAGCAGTTTGGCATGTTACGGATCTTTTCACAAACAAGGATAGGAGCCATCGGCACAGAGTGCACTTAGCCAGGTTTCCTATGTTCTAGAGCCTCGCTCGGTCTCATTTGAAGCACGCGCGCGCGCGCGCGCACGCACGCACACACACACACACACACACACACACACACACACACACACACATTTACTGCGGGTCATGGTCAGTTTCAGAAGCGCTGTCTCAGGGTTAACATGAGCTCCCTCAAGCAAATGCCAATTAGCTCAGTTGCTGGCACTGGGAAAAAGCTCGCTCGTGGGAGAAAAAAAACCAAAACATCACTTATTATTCCTGACAGAGCCGATAATACCAACTGGTGTCACATGGGTCCTTAAAAAAAAAATCTGGCAGGAAGGGGAGTCCTCTTGGTGCCGTTTTCCCAGAATCCAGAAGCCAGCCACCCCCCAAGGGCACAGAGCTCCCTGCAGGTGGTCTCAGGCTGGTTGTCAGGCTGGCTAACACCCCCCCCCCCCCCCCCCCCCGCAACTCCGTTACCAGACCAAGAAATTCAAGGCAGCACTTGCCAGCCCCCGAGAGCATTTTCCTACCCAAAAAAGGAGCCACTTTGCTAACTCTGTTGTTCAGCCAAAGGCTGGTGCAGCCTCAGAAGTCCATTTCGGTTGGCACTGCTCGTGGTTATTTAGAACGGGCAGATGGCGTGAGTTCAAACAATTGCCTTATCCTTAACAAAATAAAGCCCAGGCAGGGCCCTAGGGCTGGGCACGGCCGATAAGGAGTGGATATTACAGGCTTCTCCCCATATCCCCCTGGTTTCCTTACTGCCTGTCCCTTGTGGACCAGACCCCCCCACTCCCCACCCCGCCCCGCCCCAACATACACCCTGGCTGGAGGTTACTGGGAGGAGACTGATTCCCCTGGCCTGGGTACCTTTGCCCAATGTGAGGCCTCATCTCCTCTGTGGTGGGGTACACACACCACATACCCTGGGGGAGGAGAAAGCCTGTGCAGTGTGGGCAGCATTTGGAGGACCTCATTTTGTATGACATCACACTGGACATGCCTCTGTCCAGTTCTTTGGTGGCCTTTGTTTCAGGCAGGCCTCCTTTGTCTGTATACTGAGGACGGCGGTAAATTCCCAAGACCCATTTGTCACAGTGTGGAGAAGGGGGCCGTGGCCCCGGGTCTGGTTCTGTTCAAAGTGAAGTCTCCGACGACAGCTACTGTGAACATCTATGCATCCTAGGTAATCTTCCCCGGAGCTCCAGGTGGTAGGGACTGTCAAGAGCCCTTTTTTTTTTTTTTTTTTTTTTTTTTTTTTAACTGAGGAAAACCGAAGGAAGAGGAAGATAGCCAGGGAGCCTTGGCTCCTGAAGGATGGAGCTGGAATTCAGGTAAGCCCTCACACTCAGTGCCAATCCGGCACCATTCTTCACCTTCTTCCAAGGTTGCTTGCAAAGCAAGGTACAGATGGGACGCAGTACGTGAAGAGCGGAGTATTATGCCCAGCACGGAAAATTATTAGTATAATTAGTTGCTCTTTGCTTGAGCCAAGAAGGAGAAAAAGCATTCTGGGATGGCTGAGTAGCCGGTTTCCATCAGGGAAGCCATTGCGTTCTCAGCCCATGTCCACTGGAGGGGCTGTGGCCGGAGATGTCTGGCTGTACGTCTCTTCCTCCAGCCTGTGCCCCGGCCCCACCCCCAGCACAGAGCGGTCCATGGAGCCAGGGCTCCGGCGCAGCTCACTGATTGGCTGAATGCATCAGAGAGGAGGGAAGCAAAGCGGTCCCTGGCGGGTTTGCATCTCTGTCTCCTTTTGGAGCGTGTGTGAGCATGAGAAGGGGATACTATCCCGTCACTACGGCGGTCATCACCCGCCTATTCGTGGAGGCTTCCAACGGTCCTGGGTCCTGGAGGAGCTAAAGGGAATCCTGCCTTACAGATGGTGAGTCACACTGCCACTCACTCAGCAAGGAGGAGACCTCAGGTCCCAGTGCCAGCAGATGGGGTCCAGCAGGCTGTACTACTGAGCTATCATGGGCTAACTCTGTGGCGCTAGCCACAGATGGGGGGGGGGATACAACTAGGGATGGGCAGGTGATTCCGAGCCCAGCTACAAACAGCCGACACTGACGTGGAGCAGAGTGAACTCTCTTGAGCACACCGGGGTCAAAGCCCCACGGCCCAGACTCCTTTGAGCAAATGACCCCGGAAGCAGTGGAGACCTACCGCATGATGCCCAGGGGATCCAGCGCCTCTTCCTCCTCTTCCTCTTCTTCCTCCAAGGGCTTCTCCACAACCTTGCTGCTTAGGCCCAGCGTGGGCGGCTGCACTTCGTCCTGCTGCTCAAAGAAGTCAAAAGCCTCATCGCTGTCCCCTGGCTGGCTGGCTGTGTCATCCAGGACAGAGGGCTCTCTAGGGGCAAGGCCTGCAGCCCCTGCAGATCTGGTGCCTACGGAGGAAGCAGAAAATAAGAGCTTGATGTCCACTCTCAAGGAGGTATCACCACACCCACCCTCCCAAGCCAGGTTCTCAGGGCTTCCTGTAACTTCCCAGGACCTCAATTCTGCTTCATCCTGAATGGAGAGTCTGGGAGAGGGCCAGGTCCCATGGTAAGCCCCCCCCCCCCAGTGATGCTGGCACCCCAGGTGTGGCCTACTCATGGGGAATGTCAGAACAAGTTGAAGGAAGGCGTTTCAGAATTTCTGTGGTCCAGTCTTGTGTGAACTTTTCCTAGGGAAACATGGACAAATCTCTATTTGTCCCAGATAGAGGACCACCTGCAGAACAAAGGGAAAACTCCACCCATGTCTAGCCTGATGTGCTGAGTTTAGCTGGGGTTACTTATAGGAGCATGGGCGGCTGGCTTATAAGCAGTTAGACCACGTTAAAAAAAAAGCCTTCTTCCTAACAGCTGCTAATTCCTTGTCTATCCGTCCATCCGTCCGTCTGCCATCTATCCATCCATATGTCCATCCATCCATCCGTCTATCCACCCATCATCTGTCTATCCATCTGTCCATCTGTCTGTCCCTCAATCTGCCCTAACTGTCCCCTGGGGAGAGGTGGGGCCTTGTGAGCCCCTCCAACATCCACGAGGAAAGGTTAATGGACCCAATCTTGTGTGCTTCCTATCACACCGGTAAGTGATCACAGCTGCTAAGAATTCAAGAGACCAACAGCTGTGTCGTGCCCGAGGCCTGCGTGCCACACACCCAGAGTTAACTCCACCCCAGAAACAGCCAAGCCGGTGCCCAGTAACCCAGTGGTGAACCACGCCAGCCAGTGTACAGGAGGCTTGAGCAGGACGGTCTCTCTCTCTCAATGGTTTGCAGTAGTGAGTCCCCGCCAGGGACTCTGCTGACCTAACCTCAGGCAGACAAGTCCAGGCGCCTGCACTACCCGCTTTCCACCTGAATGAGCGCAGTGAGCACGTGGGAGATTCCAGAGCGAACGGTGAGCACCCCAGGACCACCAGGCTTACACCCGCTCTTCTCAAAGCACCAGAGGCAGGGGTTTGTGATGACAGAGGGAAAGCAAGACCCCCGAAATGGGCACAGAGGCTTGTTGGCATCATTGAGTCATCTGAGCACACAGTATCTGTGAGCGTATCTGTCTGCGAGAGGCTGGGAATAAATAGCTAGTCCTCCCCCACAGACAGTTTGAGAAGCGTAGGTTTGGACTGTTTGTTCATCTCTAGGCAAGCAGTGACTGGGTAGTTACCTTTTGAAACAGTCACATTAAAAAAAAAAAAATCACGTCAGGCGGTGGTGGCGCACACCTCTAATCCCAGCACTTGGGAGGCAGAGGCAGGTGGCTCTCTGTGAGTTTGAGGCCAGCCTTGGCTACAGAGTGAGTTCCAGGAAAGGCGCAAAGCTACACAGAGAAAGCCTGTCTCGAAAAACAAAAAAACAAACAAACAAACAAAAAAAATCACTCAGCCAGGCATGGTGGCACACACCTTTGATCCCAGCACTTGGGAGGCGGAGGCAGGTGGATCTCTATGAGTTTGAGGCCAGCCTGGTCTACGTAGTGAGTTTCAAGGCAGCCAGGGCTACATAGAGAAAGTGTCTCAAATGAATGAATGAATGAATATCACCCAGGACTACACAGAGAAGCTCTGTGTCAAATAAACAAACAAACATCACTCAGTCGTCAAAAATCTTAAAAAGCACTCTCCAGCCTTCACATGTGGTTTATGGGAATTATGCCCTGTCCTGTAGAACTGGAGACCCACAGGATCAGAAAAGAGCAAAGTTAAATGATTGATGGGAAAAGGAAGGGGGGGGGGAGAAGGAGAGAGAGAGAGAGAGAGAGAGAGAGAGAGAAAGACAGCATCCACAGATGTGGCCTGGCCCCATCATCCAGGGCATAAAGGGCAGATGCTTG